CAAACTACGACCTAATGCAATCATAGAATGGAAATGCAATCAAGATCTCTAACACATGAAACTAGGGCTCTTCATACCCAAGTGAGAGAAAGGTCTACTCCATAGAGAGAGAGAGAGAGAGAGAGAAGAATACAGAAATCAAAACAATCATACTCATAAAGATGGGAATAATCTGCTCTAGGATGTCAATCTTCACTCTTGGGACGCAATCTGGGCTTCAATTGTGAGAAATCCACTCTAAATAGCTCCTAGGGTTTGTTCTTCGTCACTTTCTCTAGAACTCTGTTTTTTCTCCAAAAATTCAAATCCCCTTCCTTTAGCTCGAACCTGCCTATTTGCCCCGAGACTGGGTGAAATACGGGCAAGAATATGGTCGTATTTCTCCTCTGCTCATATTTTGTCCAAAACACGCGTTTTGCTTAAATCGAGACGGAGAAATCCACGGTCATGTCTGGGAAAATACTGGCAGTATTTTATAAAGCACCGGCGGTATTTAATAAAGCACGGTCGTGCTTAATTCCTCGCTTACCCGTAATTTGATTTTCTTTAGCACTCTTCAAGGGCCAGCCTCGTCTTTAAAAACACGAGCAAGACGTTGGTGAAGCACGGTCGTGCTTTTAGGAAAGCTTGCTCTTAATTTGTACATGAATCATCACCATGCTCGACATAAAAAGCACTAGCAGGGTGCTGAGTGAAGCACGGTCGTGCTTTAAGGGAAGGTTGTCTGTGTTTCTTCCTCAGCTCCACTTTTGAGAGGCTTTTGAGTAACCAAATGACCTCCGATTGATCTGAAACTTGCGCCTATGCCTCCTTTTGCTCGCTAGGACATGAAATATGACAAAATAACACAGCCTAGCATAAAATAGACCAAGACACCACAAATTTGAGCCAAAACAGTTAAGAAACAAAGGTGCAAATATATGCAAATATGATGCTATCAATCACCATTCTCACCACTATCAGTAAAAAATTGCATAATCATCAGAACTATTCCAAACTCTCTCCCCCTCCAACATATTTATATGATCATCAACTTGTTCAATGTTGATTTTGTAATGATCAATCATCCTCAACCCCTCCAACATATTTATATGATCATCAACTTGTTCAATGTTGATTTGCAATGATCAATCATCCTCAACAAAGCCTTCTTATGAGCTTCCAGGTCACCCTTCAACTAATATGCTTGCAAGCACATAAAAAACAACCCGAGTTAGTGAACAACACAAAAGCAAACCATAAACCTCCTAGAGAATTCCATATTCCTTTTAATGCACACCAGAACACGCACCATAAACAAAGCAAACCAAAACCATTAGAATTCACACAAAAAATACAACTAAACAAACTGTGAATATCATAAAGTATTCCTTTAACGAAGTAATGCAAACCGCTGTCCTTTTAACACACACCACAAGTATTCTAAAGCAAACCATAAAACAAACACCAGAAAACAACTAAACACCCCGTGGATATAATAAACTATTCCTTAAACAAACTAATGCAAACCACTACCCTTTTAACACACACCATAAGTATGATAAAGCAAGACATGCAACGAATAACACAGTAAATACGAACTACTACTAAACAATACCAGAAAAAATCACTCACTTCTTCAACTGAATGAACACTATCCAAGTTTATGTCAAAATGGGGCAACTTCGAAAGATCCCCTTACCTCTTCATATCAAGATCATCAACCACCCTTTTCCTCTTCGCACCCTTCACATGTCCAAATCCCATTGGTTGGCTGGAGATTTCTGGTTCAGCCTCCACTACATCTCTATGACCAATAGAGAGATGCCCTTCTTCCAGCAGTAGTTGAAACTAGCATTTGCGATTTTGTACGACATGTGCCTGCATGGCGGTATTGGCAGCTAGGGTCCTTCACACAGTTAAGAATAGAAATCTGACACATACAAACAGACAGAAGTCAAACAACCACAATCAAAATATACAAGAAAGCTTATAATACACACCACAAAATTGATAAAGAATATCAGAAACCTTATAATAAACACCACAAAAATGATGAAGCGCCCTACAACAGAGGGAAATAAAACCAAGTAATAAATATTCTAAAACAAGACATAAACATTTCAAGCACATCACAAAATCAAAACACCACATTCCTCAACACATAGAACATAAATGGGCCAGAAAAGCAAAATTTAAAAAGAGGTTCATATTTAGCTACCATACTTTTGTTGAAATGCTCAGCCACATGTTTGCACTAGTTGTACAGAATGAAGTCATCTACCATATCATCTTGCAATTACCCAACATAGCTGAGGTCAACCTTCAAATTGCCACTAAGACACAAAACTGCTTCCATTGCATACAACACAACAAGATCCCTCCACTTCTTATAGTTCTTCTCCTCTTCCAAACAGATTTTGATGTTCACCAACGTTGCTTTTCCTTTCCTAGTGTTGGCAAGCCCTAAGTCAATCTCCCAACTGTGCTTCCGTTTTGAACTAAAACTATTTGGGTTAACATCATACGGTCCACGCAGTGAACCATAGACCCTCTCCACATCTTTCTCATGGTTCTGAACTTTCCTAGCTGAAGTAGCGGGAAAGACCTTGAACTCACATTAGTGAACAATAGAACCTCTCCACATCTTCCTCCTGATTCTGAACTTTCTTGGCTGAAGCAACGGGAAAGATCTTGAACTCACATCAAAACTTTTTTAAAGCCAATCAATAAACTTCTCCGGGAATCTCGGAAGCTTAACCCTCGACACACCCCTAAAATTCAAAGAATCAAGCATCCAAAGCTTTTCTTCACTTGTACTATCAACATTGAGGATTTCAAGAATCCTGTTAGTATTATTGCGATGCCTTTTCTTGGGCGATCCGGGCACAGAAGAAACACCAATATCCTCACCCTTCTCAACATCACCAGCTTTCCTCTTCCTAGTTCTTCGATCTATATGCTTTGTTTTCCCCTTTACTGCACGTTTCTTACCTTATGACGTGTCTACAAGGAAATAAAAAAAAATCAAACCAGCATAAGCAATCTAATACCACAACAGCTAAAATGCACTCTAGGAAGGGCCTACTACAAACTGTACAAGCCTAAACCCAAACCACAAATCAAACTTGAAGGATACAAACAACAACTCAAATGAACACCAGGAAGTACCTAATCCAAACGGTGAAAATCCAACACACAAACGAGAAAAGCTTTAAAGCACACAACCAATAGCATGCTAAAATACATCACAACTTCCCAAAAGCACACCATAAATTAACCTTAGACAAACCTTAAAAACCTAAATAAATCTCCCAATCAAACCCACAAACACCTTAAAATCACACCTTAAAATGTTTGTAATAAAAAACACTAATATACGAAATACACCAAAAAATTCTGTTATAAAACCTGAAAACCTTAATCACAGCAAACACAAAGCGCACCACCAAAATCGAAATCAAGACAACAAAACTACTAAACACCACCATAAACGACTCATCAGATATCAGAAACCGTAAAATGAACACATAACTGAGGAAATCTGGAAAGCACACCACAAAAAGGGTAGAAACATACAACAAACACACACTTACGAAATTTCCTCTTCTTCTACAACAGATTAACATTGAAAGAATAATACATGCCAGAAAAGTGAAAAACTAAAATAACAGAGCGCATACCTAAAAAGGACGGTTTACAATTTCAATAGCAGCAACGAGCAAAAACAACACTTTTAGTGTAGTTACACTAACACTACACAATTGAAAACTCCAACGACTCAAAATAACAACGACGACAGCGGAGGCCAAAAAATCAATACAGTAGAGAAGATAGTATGTCAGAGAAAATCGAAAACGAACGACAGACCTTGAAATTCGCATCAATGCAGGAGACGAAATTTCACGGAGGAAATCCACAAGCCACAGTGGAAGAAATGAAATCACGCGGTGGAAGCACGACAAAGATGGAAATCGCGTGAACAAAAAGAGAGCAAACGACGGAGCGGAATTCATGAGCAGGTAGGGATGGCAATAGGGCGGGTTTGCCTAAACCATCCTCATCCCCGCTTTCAAATATCTATACCCATATACCCGCCCCATACCCATGCGGGGGAAGGTTTTGCAAACCCATTCCCATACCCATGGGTTTCGGGTACCCATGGGTAATACCCGCCCCGTACATCCAACATTATAATACATAATATTTTACATGTAGACTTTCAATTATAACATTAAACGCACCTACTATATCGTGAAGTCGACAAAGAGACAATCATTTTTAATACGATTCAAAGCATCTTATCCCAAAGCATCCATTAATCCATATCAGAGTATAGTACAATGTCATTCAAATCATTATAAACTACTGTGATACATCTATTAAGTAATAATTAACTAACATAATCTTGTTAACAAGGGGAAAAAGTGAAATAGTGAAGGGAAAATTGAGAGAAATAAATTAGATTTTGATTTGGGTGGCCACTTAATTGCATTTCTACTATATATATTTATTGAGTTATACTCACTATTATTGATAGGTTACAAATTGATTCACATATTTTTTATATGTGAAGAAATATTTTTGGTGGGGCGGGTATGGGTATGGGCCTCATACCCATCGAACTTTTTACGGATTTTACCCATACCCACCCCATACCTGGTCAATGTTGGGATTCCCCGCGTTGAATGGGTCGGAGACGGTCGGATACCCATAAGCATGGGTTTTGATGGCCATCCCTATGAGCGGGGAAAGGAAAAAACTGAAATGACAATTAACATGCAATGCTATGCATTTAATATTAATTTTGAATTTTGAATTATAACACAAGATCAAATGACAACAATGTCCTTGTTGTTAGGTATGTGTTGTTATTCTATTCAAGCCCATAAGATGGACCTGGTCTGTACCATCGAGATCAATCAAGTTTGGGCTTTATCCTATCTTGCAGCCCACACCGGATGCCGAAGAGGGGTCGTAAGAGAATGGGTCCATTGCTAAAACGGTAAAACCTCAAAACTGTTTTAGGAGAAGAGTAGCAAAGTCTTCTCCACGGTTGTTCAACTCCTAAAACCCTAGCAAAATAGTGCGGTTGGAAGCAGAGCAGTAAGCAAGCCTTCGATAAATTTTTCTCATTTCACTAAATAGCCCCTTCCCGATTTCGTTCTCCTGCTCGTATTAATCGGACATGGAAGAGGAGTTGGTATTTGCGTCTTCTTCAATTGGCTCCGCCATCGGCTGCTGGGCCATCGAATCTGGAAAAGAGCAGCAACTTCCCTACAAATCCTGCGGATCTACTCCTCCCCACGGCCTTTCCTTCGTCGGCAGCCGTTTCCTTGCGTCTTCCCAATTCTCAGACCATACAGCCTCTTTCGGTTCAATTATTTACTGTTCCTTGTCCAAGGTACGCACTCGGTACTTACAGTAATTCCACAATTCAATTTTCTCAAGCCCTAATTTTGACTTTTCATAGCGGCAAGCGGAGGTGAAGAGCTTTCTAGGAGAGCCCATAAAGCCTATCGCTGCTACTAGTGATGGGACGTATCTAGTTGGTGGAGGGATCTCTGGAAACATCTATCTCTGGGAGGTGAGCCCCGTCCTCCTCATTACTAGTTAGACTTAGCTTGATTCAACTCAGTCGGGATGTCGATTTCTGTAGGTTCCAACCGGTAGGCTGCTTCAGCAATGGCATGCTCATTTGAGGCCTATCACGTGCCTGGTATTCAGTGATGACGATTCGCTTCTGGTTTCGGCGGCCGAGGATGGTTGTGTTAGAGTCTGGCCTCTTTTGACGTACTTTCTCGTTCTCTTCTTGTGGATTTTGGTCAAAAGGGTGTACCTTTTCCCTCTAATTGACAAGGTTGCTCCCTCCTCTCCGTGAATTAGGGTGGTTGGTGTTCAACAAAGAGATCAAGCAAGTAATCTCTACTTGCATAGCTTTGCAGAGCACACTTTGCCTATAACTGACTTGGTAATGGGACACGGGGGTGGGAATGCTGTTATAATCTCAGCTTCCGAGGACAGGAGTTGCAAGGTTAGATTTGAAATTTATTGATTACATTCTTCTTTTACGGCTGCTGCAAATCGTCATATGGCATCCGGTTCTTGTCAGATATGGAGCTTATCTAAGGGCGTTTTGTTAAGAAGTCTTGTGTTTCCCTCCATAATCAATGCATTAGCTCTGGACTCTTGGGAACTAGTGTTCTATGCTGGTGGTAGAGACGGAAATGTATATACTGCTGCACTAAATGCTAGTACCTTGGACAAAAGTGATTGGCCTCACATTATAGGCTCTTTTCCTAGTCAAAGGTCAGTAATTTCTTTCCCTTGCATTGGCTGTTTCTTTCCCTCACCCGTTTCATTTGATTCCCTTTCCCAGAGAATGTTGGTTCAAAGTATTCTGGCTTACCACTTTGTTGTTCATTGTTTTGAGCAGCAATGCTGTGACTTCCTTAGCATACAGTGGCAGTAGGAACAAGTTGCTTGCTGGATTGGATGATGGATTCATTCGAGTTTGGGATCCCAAGACACGTAACTTTGTTTGCACATTCAAACAAGCAAAAGGTCTGTTTGCATTATTACCCGAGCTGCGTTCAACTATTTTCTATGTTGGCTTTGTGAGTTGTTTTTTTTATTTATCTTTGACCTGTCTGATTGTTATCTGATCTTTCATGAGGCAGGTCCCGTGAATAATATCCTAGTCATGAAGCGACCTCAATGCGTAAATCCTTGGATGTCAGCATTTACTTTACTGCTTGATAAAGGAGGGCCGAAATCATTGCTACCACCTCCCAAACTGCAGAAATACCCAAACTTGACAGATGACCTCTCACTCACTCATGCAGTCATTAACCTGCCGCGGATTTACAATAATCCTCTCGCAGTATGTTCTTTCACCCTTCAAATGATTGACGGTCAACTTAAAGGACTTGAGGTTGGTAACACTTTGTTCTTCTTGATTCGTTACCCTGGTTCACCATAAAATTCTTTCGTTACCCATGACAAATAATCTGCCTGTGTTGCTGTATCCTGTTGCAGCAGAATGATTCTAAAGTGGTGGCGAAGATTGAAGTGGAGAAGCTGAAACATGATTGTGCAGAGTATAAGCAAATGCTTGATAAGTGGAAGAGGAGGTATGATGCTCTGCATGAATTCTGCATGGACGAGTTGTTGGCGGGAGATAGACCCCCCAAAAGGTTGGTCAGGCCTTTGAGTAGTGATCACAAAAGTAAATCATTTGGGGGAAACTCGGGCTAGAGTTTTTATAGTAGTAGTTTGTTTCGCTTCATCTCTCGTCTGATGATTGCAGTTTATTTACAACAAGTTATGCTCGTGTGTTGAGAGGAAATGTTGTTGGCAGGAAATAGAACCCCCTAAAAGGTTGGTCAGGCATTTGAGTAGTGATCTTTGAGTAGTGATCTCAAAGGTAATTCATTTGGGGAAAACTCGGGCTAGAGTTTCTATAGTAGTACGTTTCGCTTCATCTCTGTTCTGGTCATTGCAGTTTATTTACATCAAATTATGCGTGTGTTGAGAGGAAATTTCTGCCTATCGCCAAATTAATATGTGAAGATATATGACTTTTTACCAGTGAAAATACGGTATATATAAAATATGTATGGGTATTTTGGTTTGTGTCTAAACTAATGCTATCTTTAATAGTACATTAACTATTTTAAAAATAAATAAACATACAAAAGAATAATGAAATGAATAATTTAATTTATTAAATATGAATATTAAATGTGTAATATGGGCTTTATACTTTTATACATGTTTAGTGCCAGAGCTATTAAATGAACAGAAGAAAATGAAACGTCTTGATAATAATATGTATATGGAGATTTTAAACAAATAAAATATGTATGGGTACATTTCGTATATTAAATGGAGTTTACTAACTATATATAGTTATGAAAGTGAGTAAAACTATAGATGCAAGTCCCATTTGTGACTGTCCAAATCCATTTAAGTGCGTTTGGAGGTCAACGTCCACTCGCAGAGCAGTCTGCCTCGAGGCATGCCCCATTGAAGACGTGTAGGTGGCATTGTCATAATAGTACTAGGTGTTAGAAATTTCTTTAAGCTTGACATGATCAACTGTTGTACAGCGAGCATGAATGCGATGCGCAATCAGCAGTGAGACTCATGTTTGTTTGAAAGATTTAGGATTGTGGAAGCTCGGTTTCAGAATAGAATAAAATGAAAAGGATATCTAAGCATTGTTTGAAATAAGGCGGGACGTTTGAATTTGAACTAAACTAACCAAACAAAGAATCAAAACTATGTACGAGGGATATCACTAGGGAAGAGTTGGTGTTGGCAAGACTTCAAACCACCTTTTGGTAGTTGCTAAAGGCTCTAAAGGTTCATGTTATAAGAGATCAGATTGATTCATAACTCACTCCACGAAGATACCTAAACTGAGCTCTAACTCAATGATCATGCAATTAGAGCTCTTATCAACTAAATGGAGGGACTTGGTATGAATTCTCACAACTCCAACTACCTAAGTGATGCATTTAAACTAGGATTTCACTAATGAAACTGCATCACTCTTCACGAGATAACCTCATTATGAAAGGATCAAGTAATTCCTTGATCCTCTCTAAAAAAAGTAATTCCTTGATCCGATCAACCGCGTAATCATCATCTATCTAATGATGGCCACCCTAGAGATTGTGGCGATATCACCTCATCAATCTCCAAAACCTAAATGCACCCAACTTGAATTCCAATTCATGCTATCACTTGATAAACATAGAGTACGAGGAAGTCATGTGAGACTATGATCAAGTCACCCAAAAAATCTCCCAATCCTATGGTGGGTCAAACTTCGAAATTGGGAAAAATTCACAATCACCACAAATAGCATCCAAGAACTATGCATCATAATAATCATAGATATAGAATTAACAGCAAATCAATATACCTCAATCCATACAACAAAATTCTTATCAAACATCTACTTGAGCTCTACATCTAACCAACCCAAGGGTTGAGTTCATATTAAGTGAACTTGGAATTAATTGGTACTTATTGACTTATCACTGCAATCTCAACCAATTCTTCCCAAGCATCCTTTTTAATTTATCATTATAAATTTTCTCCTTTATAGTGTACTCCCCGGACAAAATGTGATGTCTACAGTTTTCCACAGTGGCAGATACATTCATGTTTATGGGTGTCCCGGGACACCCCTAAAATTTGGAATAATAATTGTCCAACCTCTAATAGTAGTTTGCGTATAGATTAAAAAAAATTAAGTGGTAGCGTGACCCCCTTAAAATTTGGAGAAATCATTAATCAACTTCCTGTAGTAGTTTATGTATGAGTTGTAATAATATTTATGTGATAGTCTATGTGATTTGAACTTGGGACAGTACTACTACTATTAGTAAACATATTTTCAATTAAACTTTGTTTTGTTTTGTTTTAGATACAAATATAATAGTAAAAGGCTATTTTATCTGAAAGCTAAACATCACCCTAGTTTTACTGTTATCGCCCTAACTTAGAATATATAATTACTAGATTATCCTTCCTTAACCAAATAAAAAAATCGGCTTTAAAATCTCTAATGCGCTATCTTCGTCAGAAGAAAGCAATTAAACGGCGCCGGCGAAGAAAGCAATTAAATGGTCCCTTTGACGGCGCCGGCGCCAGCGCGACCCCCAGTACTCCAAACCAACTATGGTCACCTGCACTCCAAACGACTTTGCCGCCATCGTGGTCCTCCAAAAGCTCACCCCGCTTATTTTCTATTTATACCACCACAATTAGTAAAACAAGTTGTAATTATTTTCTGCAGTCATGGAGAACCATTAAAGCTCCAAAGAAGATGAAAAGAAGAAATCATAATCAAGCTTTTCTTGTAGTTTCTATGAAATGCTGGTCTCCATTTTTCACAATTGTCGGAAGTGGGCAGTGATGGCGGCAACCGGTGATAGCAGCAACGAGTACCGGCAGCGGCAGCCGGCAAGTAGTGATGGGTGCTAATGCCAACAAAAATGAAAGGGTATAAAAGTAAAATCTTTCATTAAGTTAGGGCGATCTATATAAGCTAGGGCAACATTTAGCAATCCCCATTCTTACCCCCAATTATTTTCAAAACCTAATGATTAAACACAATTACGGGCTACCCTTGTCTAGTAAGATATGTCGAGAGATATTTTTTGAGCAGTGTAGACATCGAATGTTATTTTACTAGTTTTCATAATACGAAACACATATGAACTTTTATTGTCACCTTTACTAGTTGAATAATTATTAATTATTATATTTCATATTTAATAATAATTTAATTAAATTTTTGGGAGAGAACACCCCTATGTAAACTTTCTAGATCCACAACTGGTTGTCCCCCTTTGTATATCTTTGTATAAAGAGTTATACAAAGTTCCTATAAAGACACCACATTTTTATAAAGTAGCATGATGGTCGTGTTAGCATCTCCAAAGAGAGTGGTTTTTAGGGTGACGTAATAATTGTAAGCAATCTGGTGTGTTAATGATAGTGTTAACCGATGTGGAAAATTTCAAACTCTTCATAGTATGAAAGTGGATGTAAAATTTTTCGTGCTTGTTGGCAAGAATGCGGTATTGAAAGGTAGATGCTCCTCAGCTCCCTGAGATATTGGACGATAGGGGTGCTCCTTAGCTCCGTGAGGTATTGGAAGGTAAGGGTATTTCTCAGCTCCCATAAGGTTGTGAAAGGTAGGGGCGCTCCTCAGCTCCCGTTAGAGTAAACAAAGACCCAAATATAGGATATAACAAGACATTCGTCATTGCCAAATATTTTTTTTTATGATACGTTTTGAGGCGTTCGTCATCGCCAATTGTAAATATGTTGACGCATTTTTAGGCATTTTTCATTGCCAATTGTAAAATTTGTTGACGCATTTTTAGGCGTTCCTCATTGCTAATTGTGGTTTTATTTACGTATTTAGGCGTTTGTCATCGCCAAATGTAATTTTGTTGACGCATTTTTAGGCGTTTGTGATCGCCAAATGTAATTTTATTGACGCATTTTTAGGCATCCGTCATCGCCACATGTAATTTTGTTGACGCATTTTCAGACTTACATAGCCAAATGTCTTGGTGACACATTTTTAGGCGTTCATCATCGCTAAATGTTTTTGTTGACGCATTTTTAGGCATTTGTCATCGCCAAATATTTGGGTGACAGATATTTAGGCGTTCGTCATGGCTAAATATTTTGGTGACGGATTTGAGGCGTTCGTCCACACCAAATGTAGTTTTGTTGAGGTATTTCCTAAGGACATGCCTAAAGCGAATGTAGTGACTTGCCCTAATTGTAGATGAAAAGGTTGATATTGAACTTATGAAATTCTGAAGTATGTTATTTTGCATATGGTCCTTTAGTTGGACATTTGAAATCCAGATAAATGTTTAACTTAACTTATGATGATGTCGTTCACTGAGTATCAAGATGATTTTTAAAATGATTGTATGATGAGCCATGTCGATGAATATGCGTGAATGTCATGTGAAAATGTAGTATGATGCATGATTGTCTGGTTACAAAATATGTTTGTTTTTTTTATGTTTTTTTCCTGTATTCCTTTCAATTTATCATCCACGAGAAATTGTCTCGTTCTTTACCGACTTGATCCTTAGTACAAATTCTTGATTATGTGCCCCCAGCCCCATGGTGAAGAGACAAAGATGTTGATTATTTTTTCTTTGATGTATGTTGTTTGGTATATCCATCCTCATCTTAGGATTCGGAATAATATGTTTGGCCAGGTGGCCTACCCGTGGCGGTGTTTCTTGCGATGTAAGCAATGTCGTGCTTGGTTGAGAAGATTTATCATTCTGAGGTATTTATGTTGATGTTGGTTTTGCAGAGACATTGTGTGGTACAACGTTTGCTATGTTGCTCAAAGTATTCATGGTATATCGAGTTGTTCCTTCTAGTCGAGTCATTGAAGGGTTGATTGACCGTTCGGTTGGATTCAATGAATTGTGAAGGCTTCGAAATCTTCGATATTTCTTCATCTACCTGTCATTCAGAAATCTACTTCCCGAGTACTTCGTAGTTCCAACCTTCCAGGATGCGTTATTCTTGTCACCAAAGATCTATACTCACTTTCAATTTTTCGAAACAAGAGTGACTCTTATCAACAACCTCTACTTAGGATGAATGCAACAACATTTGAAAATTCTTGTTAATAATGGAAACTCATTTTATATATCAAAACTTTGCTTGAGAGAAGTGTGTGCAAAATTGTTTTAGTAAATCAAGCCATGAGAGTATCCATATGCCTCGCTTTTCATTCTCACTATTGATTTCGCTCTCACTCATTCCTATGGGTGCTCTGAGTTTACGACACATAAGCTACCATTATGATTCTGGTTACCTTGAGATGTCTCCTTTTATGCTGATGGCCAACTGTGTTTTTTGTGAAGATTTACTCAATTTGGAGAACTTGGTTTGATCGATTTAGGAGATCTTCATGTGATTCCATCGTGGAAGTTCTTCATCTCCCACGAAATGAGGCTTTGGAGAGTCTTCTTGTTCTTGAAATATTGTTTATTCAAATGAGTGGCGAATATGTGAAATCTTGAACTTGCCCATATAAGGCTTCTCGTAGAAGGATTA